CAAGGTAAGGGAGAGGTGCAGCAGGGGGGGACACAGGGAGGTCCCGCCGCTGGCTCGGTGCACCCCCAAGACCACCTCCTTTGCGGCCGGTTGCTGGTTACTGGCGAGGGCACGACCCCACACCCACCCCGGGGGAGGGGGGGGGGCGTGCCGGCGGAGGGGCCTGGGAGCGCCGTTGCGCATGCGTTCTCCCTCTGCCCCTCCCGCCCCCCGCCTCCCCACACCTCTACCCTTTGGGGCCCGGTGGGAACATCTCCTCCTCTGTCAGTCCTGTCAGAGCTGCAGTGGGTTCGCGTCCGAGCACTCCCGCCTTGCCCAGGACTGAGGTAAGCCAGGCCGCCGGGCCTCCAGCCCCCGGCCCCCGAGCGGGGAGGCCTTTCCGCGGTGGGCTGTGGGGGTGCGACGGAGGTGGCCTTGGAGGGGGACCCTTCCCCTACCTCCTCCCATTCTCGCTCAGCCGCCTTAGTGGAGACAGACCTGGGTAGGGGTGTCCGCGAGCGCGGGAAGCGGGGGCTGTGGGCCCGAGCCTCGGGACTGGGCCGCCCCGGCCCCCTAGAAAGACCCGGACGAGCTGGGCCGGCTGGAGCACGGGCAACAGCTTTAGGGGAGAGCCTGTGGGTCCCCCCAGCCGCACCTCCCCTGGCTGAGTCAAGGGAAGCGTGGCCCGGCGCGGGTGTCCGTTTGTAGGGGCCCAGGTTCCGGTGCCTCCCTCCCCTCGACGCGCACCCCTGGATCCTGGGCGAATCCACACGCCGTGGGCCACGTGGCTCCAGGCGGGGATAACTGGGTCTCAGGGGCCCTTTGGGGACGCTCGTAGCGCTCGGCCCACAGCAAGTGGCTCAGTGTCCCTCGCGGAGGGGGAGACCCCCACTGCCGTCGGTCTGGACCCCCGCGGGGCCGTTTGACCTCCCGCCGGTAAACCGCCACCGCCACCTCGCTTGCGGCGGCCTCGCTGTTCCGCGCGGACACAGCGGCCCGACAGGGGGTGGCCCAGCCTCTCGAGGGCGCTGGGAAGAGTCGCGGGGCCGTCAGGCGGCCCCCCCTGCTGCAGGCCCACGTCCCAGGAAATCATTCCTGCTGCTCTTTACCGCTACTGGAGCCCTTTGCGGGGGGGGGGGGGGGGGGGGGCGGAGCCCGTCTCGCGTGTCCCCAGCCTCGGGCACCCTCAGATTCCCAGCTGCCCGGACCCCACACTCGAGAGTTAGCCTTCACCCCTCTCCCGCCCCGCGCGCCGCGTTTGGCTCTGAGAGCAAGCCCCGGCAAGTGCGTTCCACCTTAGGATCTGACCTCCCCATCGATGATGGCCTTGGACCCCTGCAGCGGCCTCCTCGCTGCTTCCGCCCTCGCCCTTGCCTCTCGGTCTGCCCTCGCTGCTACATCTTCTCCCTCTTTCTGTCCCCAAGGGTTCGGGGCCCCCCCCACCAGAGATCTGTCCTCGGTTTACCTCTCTTCACCGTGGCCCCCCTTCTTTCTGGGCCAGAGCATCTAATAATTATTGCCAGGAGTCTCTCTGGGCCGAGGACCTCACAGCTGCATCCCCACCTGGGACCTTCCCCGCCCCCCAACCCTGACCTCCAGATCCCAAATTCAACAGAACCCCCCACGGAGACCTCGAACCCACCCTCTGCCCCCAAACTGCCATTCTCCCCGGGTTTCCAGAGAGACTCGGGGTAGCAGCCATTATGATGCATTTCCTGAGGCCACACACGGAACCGAGGCCAGGATGTGTATTGAATAAGTTTAATGGTAATTTGCTATTAATAGCTAACACTAATTGAGCACCTGCTGTGTGCCCATCCTCTCCTAACTGCATGATAATTTACTTGCTTATCTTGTTGATGGTCTCCTTCTCACTTCCAGAATCTAATCCTCCCAAGGGCAGGGATTTTAGTCTATTTTGTTCGCTGCCACTTCCCCACCCCCCACACCTCCCACCTTCCTTCCCCACACCCATCACAATACCGCGCTCGCCGGAAGACGCTGGAAATAATGCATGAAAATTAAATAATAATAAAGAGGCCTAACATTAACTGAGCATCTCCCACCTGTTTATCACCTATTGTTGCAGTATATTTTACTGATTTATCTTTGTTGTTGTCACGTTCCTTGGGGGCTGGTGTTTGTTAACTATTTTAACTATTTTTCCCAGTTGTTTGTCCTTGCCACACAGTGGGTTCTCAATAGCCGCATGCTGAATACGTAAGAAAGACTAAATTCTAATGTTAATGGCTAACCGACCTCATAATTTGCCGATTTATTTGATTTACTGTCTCCACCTTTTAGAATACAAACTCCCTGGGGACAAGAATGTTGCTCGGCATATGATTTGTGACTGGCACGGTGCCGGGCTTGGGGCTCGACGGTGATACGATCCAAAACCAAAATCAAAACTGACCCAAATCCCCGCCCTCCCTCGGGAAGCGGGAGGGGCTGCTAATGGGCAGGAGCTTTTTTCCCCGGGTGATGAAAATGTTCTTAGATTATGGCGATGGTTGCACAACAGTGTGAAAATGCTAAAACAAAACATTGAATTGTTTACTTTTAACTAGATTAACTGTGGTATATAAATTACATCTAAAGAAAGCTGCTCTTAAAATCCCCGCCTTCACGTAGAGGGAATGAGACGGACAGAGATTAAGCAACATAAATAAACTATTCGGCCTACTAGAAGGTGATTTGCACACACCTAGGCACTTAGTAAATGTTGATTCAATGACACCCAGCTGAGCCCTTGCCCCCGAGTGGTCTTGCCTAACCTCCCCCCGCCCCTCCCCCTTGTCTTCTGCTCTCTTTCCCTCGCAGGGCCTGCTGTCCACATCCCTTCCCTGAGCTGTGCACCAGGGGAATGGCGCTGCCGAGAAATGCGAACATGTTTGATCTGGGCCTGGGCACGTGGAGCCTTGGCTCCGAGGAGGAGAGCCAGAGGGCTCAGGCACCCTCCAAGAGTGTCGGGAAGCAGCTGCCCGAGTACAAGGCGGTCGTGGTGGGCGCGAGTGGCGTGGGCAAGAGCGCGCTCACCATCCAGCTGAACCACCAGTGCTTCGTGGAAGACCACGACCCCACGATCCAGGATTCCTACTGGAAGGAGGTGGCCCTGGGCCATGGGGGCTGCATTCTGAACGTGCTGGACACGGCAGGGCAGGCCACTCACAGGGCCCTGCGTGACCAGTGCGTGGCGATTGGGGATGGCGTGCTGGGGGTCTTCGCCCTGGATGACCCCTCGTCTCTAGCCCAGCTGCAGCAGATGCGGGCCACCTGGGGCCCTCACCACACCCAGCCCCTCGTCCTTGTGGGCAACAAGTGTGACCTTGTGAGCACCACTGGAGATGCTCGGGCCGCTGCTGCAGCCCTTGCGAAGAGCTGGGGGGCCCCCTTCGTGGAGACCTCAGCCAAGACCCGGCAAGGTGTAGAGGAGGCCTTTACCCTGCTCATCCATGAGATCCAAAAGGTCCGGGAGGCCATGGCAAAGGAGGCCATGACAGGGCCGGGTGGGGATAAGGCCCGGCACCAGAAGGCCATGTGCCGCTGTGGCTGTTCTGTGGCCTGAAGATCTCGGTCGAGAAGAGTGGCCTGCCCCCAGGCCAGGGTGGTGGATCCTAGACATGAGACCACCTCCCCCCCCACCCCACCCCCACCCCAGCAACTAGCTGCGTGGGACACTGTTGGTGTACTGGGGATAGATGAATCCCTCTGTTGGGGAGATTTTCGTTTGGTGATGGGCATTTGGTAACGTGGGGCATTGTATTGGTTATTGGCGAGCGAAGAGATTGTGTGCCAAATTAAATAAACGGTGTTCTCAGGTTTCAAAGCTGCCTCTGTGCCAAGTGTTACGTGGGTGGGAGTGAAACTGGGGAGAATATTACTTGAGTTGTGAGAATTCTTTCATTCAAGAAATGTTGGGGGGAGCCCACTGTGTGCCAGGCCCTGCTTTGGGTGCAAAGGATGTAGAAACAAACAAGACCCTTAGAAATCCCTGGCCTCGCAGATATAACATGAGGCTATGTATTAAAAAGCGAGGGTAGGGGCGCCTGGGTGGCTCAGTTGGTTACGCGACTGCCTTCGGCTCAGGTCGTAACCCTGGAGTCCTGGGATCGAGTCCCGCATCGGGCTCCCTGCTCGGCGGGGAGTCTGCTTCTCCCTCTGACCTTCCCCCTCTCATGTACTTTCTCTCATTCTCTCTCTCAAATAAATAAACAAAATCTTTAAAAAAAATAAAATAAATAAATAAATAAAAAGCGAGGGTAGGAATAGAGTGACAGGGAGGTCAAGGAAAGCCTTACTGAGTAGGTGACATTTGAGTAAAAACGTGCAGGGAAGTAGGGCCCGTGCGAAGGCCGGAGCCTAAACCGGCTCCCGCCACAACTCGAAGTATCTCCAGGTGGGGGGTGAGAATACAGATAGCACTCTCCATACTACATAACTGACTATCTAAACATTACAAATCAAGCTAACAAATGCAGACAATGCGTCCTATCTCCCTGCCTTGACAGATAACACTTTCTTCGTGACCTGGAGGCCCAGGTTTGAATTGCTCAGATGCAGAGCCCCATGCCCCATGCAAGGAGGTGTGTGTTGGGAAGGCCAACCGCCCCCTGGCCTGCAGCCCACTCCCTCTCTTCCCACTGGTAGCCCTTACCCCCGCCCCCCCCCAGAGCAGGAAGGCTCATGGGTGCCTGTGGACAGGGCCGGAGGCACAGCTCAAACCACTCAGGCCTCACAGCCACCTCTTGGTCCTCAGAAGGATGGACCCCAGGAAAATGCTGCTGCAGGCCCTGAAAGTGTCCTCAAGAGCCCTGTGGGGTGGGGCCCAGGATCTGGGTGGTTACTGCCATTGTCTTTACGGATGCCTCCCCCAGTGAGAAGAGAGGCAGAGAGTGGGGGAGGGGGGGACTCTAAAGAGCCCACCCAGGGCAGGGCGCCCTCTGCCTTTGTCTAAGGGCCACCACCGCCACTCAGCCCACCAGCCCCCCCTTGAAACTGCCACTCTGGACAAGCATATAGCTGCTTCAGATCGCATTTATTGTGGGGCCAAAGGCGGGGATCTTGGGGTTCTAGGGCTGCAGCTGCGTCTTAGGCTGACGGGGTAAGCCGCTCTCGATGTGCCGACGGGGAGCAGTCGGGGTGTTGGGGTGGGGTGGTCCTGGGCCCGAGGGTACGCAGGACCCGGGCGGTGCTCAGGGGGGCAGGAGGCGGCGAACTGGCGCCTGGGGCGAGGGGGTCTCCAGGCGCTTCACCCGCAGCAGGGCCCCCAGCACCCCCTCAGGGGGCACCTCGGGGCCCAGATCCTGGTCGGCGGCACGGCGGAGGCGGCGCGGGACAGCCACAGCCTCGGGGTCGGCGCTCCCCGCGAGGATTCGCCCCAACAAGTACCTGCCGGAGAGCCCGAGAGGAAGGTAGTGAGGCTGTGCCCGCGCATCAACGCCGCTGCCCTAGGGCCCAAACGGCCCTGCAACCCCATACTACCCGGGGACCCGGCAGTCTCCAGCCCACTGCTTTCCAGTTGTCCCGGCCTCCCAGCCCACACACTATGGTTTCCCTGCCTCCCTCAGGTCCTCCCCCCAGCAACCGGACATCGAAGCCCCCCTCCCCCGCCCGGGACCGGCAGTCCCGTTCCCCACTGTCTCCGCAGCCA